GGAAACAGGCTCCAGGCTCTGAGCCATCAACCCAGAGCCCGACGCGGGGCTCGAACTCACAGACCGCGAGATCGTGACCTGGCTGAAGTCGGACGCTTAACCGACTGCGCCACCCAGGCGCCCCACACCACACGAGATTTAAAACATTAGTTTTGCCCGTTGTTGGACTTCACCTGAATGGGGTCAGGTATGTACCCTTCTGTGTCTGACTTATTTTGCTCAGCGTAACACTTTTGAGATTCATCCGTGATTTTGTGTTGTATCAGTCCCTTCTTTTTTTTTTTTTTTTTCTTTTGCACATCAGTATTTCATTATATGAAAACATCACAAGTTGTTTAATCCGTTCTCCTGTTGATGGACTTTGTCTTGTTTCCAGCTTGGAGATATTATGAACAGAGCTATTATAAACATTTTTGCATAGCTGTGGCTCTTCTTTTAGACTGCTTTCTTTCTCCTCAAGTAAATAAGATGTTTTGCATTGCTCGAGGCATGTGGCAAAAGTGTGTGTCACTTTATAAGAAGCTGCTAGATGGTTTCCCAAGGTGGTTGGGGAAGAAGTATTGTTTTCAGTTTTTTTTTAAAAAATTTTAATGTTTATTTATTGGAGACAGAGACAGAGCACGGGTGGGGGGGGGCAGAGAGAAAGAGAGAGAGAGAGAGAATCTGATGCAGGCTCCTGAGCTGTCAATGCAGACGTGGGGCTCGAACTCATAAACCACAAGATCATGACCTGAGCTGAAATCAAGAGTCAGACGCTTGACTGAGCCATCCAGGTGCCCCAGGAGAATAAGTATTTTTAATTTAAAATACATGGCTGGTTTCTTTATTAAAGGGCCTCAACTTACATTTCTACTGGTGCCCCTCCGTCAGCCAACAAGTGTTTCTCTCCAAAATTTGTCAGTCTGAGGGGCTGGTGTGGGAGCTCATGGGTTATAGTGGCTTGCAATCCCCTCATTGCTAGAGATGGGGTCCTCATTTTTCAAAAGCTTCCCGGAAGATTCTAACAGGCAGCCGGGGTTGAGAACCACAACACTGGTGATAATGAAAAGGAGGGGAGGATCTCTCTGGTGGCATCAGGTAACACTATCAAGGTTGAAGGGTGAATATTGTTCATGTAGAGGCTTGAACAGGGTTGATGGTTAAAGAGATCAAGGAGAAGTTGGAATATAGCTGCAGAAATATTGGGGGCACAGCTGGGATTGAGAAGGGAGGTGGAGGATCAGGACAGAAAGAGCAAGAAATACAAAATACACAGTTGTCTGGCATCATTTTATACAGAGCCTCAGGGTTGTTTGTGTCTGCTGGGCACAGCGATTGATACTCATTATTATTTGGATAATGATTAAACTTTCCAAAAGTCTTGTGTAAAGGGATTAACATTCACCGATCTGGAAAGCCGTTCCATCCAGACCAGCTCACCCAGGAAGTTCCAGAGAGCTGAAGTTTCCATATACACAGAAGCCTGGTTGTGTGTAAATAATGCAGCCATGTGTGTGTGTGTGTGTGTGTGTGTGTGTGTGTGTGTGTGTGTGTGCTCACGCACACGCGCGCAGCCCGCACAAGCCTGTTTTCTCTCTTAACTTGAATGCCTTGTATCAAGAATGGACTCGAGGGGGAGGGGAGTACTTTGCAAGATGACACCTAGTATTACCTGAGGGAGGCAGAATCCTTAGGTAGGATTTTGAGGCTTACGTAAGTATAAGAAATAGAAACCACACTGCATGGTGCTGAAAAAGTGAACTTGGTTGAGCTTGGTTGGTGTTTGGGAAGAAGAGAGCCTCGTGTACATAAGCAGAATGTAGCAACTCTAATAGCTGCTTATTTGTAACTACTAAAAAGTGCTGTTAGGGGCGCCTGGGTGGCGCAGTCGGTTAAGCGTCCGGCTTCAGCCAGGTCACGATCTCGCGGTCCGTGAGTTCGAGCCCTGCATCAGGCTCTGGGCTGATGGCTCGGAGCCTGGAGCCTGTTTCCGATTCTGTGTCTCCCTCTCTCTCTGCCCCTCCCCCGTTCATGCTCTGTCTCTCCCTGTCCCAAAAATAAATAAAAACGTTGAAAAAAAAAAAAAGTGCTGTTAGTAGTAAATTAGGGAGTTCTCAGCTGGAGACTTTGAGGGAAGCAGCTCCCTGGGAGTAATACTTCCCAGCTGAATTTAGCCCAGTGTAAGGACTCTTGCTAATTATGAAGAGGGGCTGAGAGAAAGCCATTGCTCCCTCAGAGGAAATAAAATCCCCCCGACCAGACTCTGCCTAGAGAACTCCTGTCTGAACGGCCACAGTAGTTTTCCCTTAGAAGGCAAAAATTGAGTGCAGATATTAGCAGCAGGATGTACCTTCAGTCATGTGAGACAGTGGAAGAAAAATTCAAACACAGACAGCCTTTTGCTTCTATGTGCGTCTGCAGGGTATGTTGTGGATCTAGGCGTGGGGACATTGTTAAGACAAGAGTCTCTGTGGACAAACCAGGAAAGGACAGAAACCAAGTGGAAATGAATGGATAGGGTCCATGGAGGTAACTCTAGTTACTGTAATTTTTTGTATCTGAGGCAGAATTTATATCACAATCTGGGCATCAGTGTTTGATATAATAATGCATCCCTTTCACTGTGGTTTAAGGACAGAGAATAAAAAATGTTACAGAATCCATGGAGTTTTGGAAGAGGCAAAACTAATCTATGTGGAAAAAATCAAAACAGTGTTTACCTGTAGGAGGATGGGGGCAGGGATTGATGGGGAAGGGCATGATAAAACTTCCTCTGGTGATTCTATCTTCTCTATGTTGATAAGGATTTGGGATGCACAGGAGTTATCCGTTACTTAAAATTCTGCAAATGGCGTGCTTAAGATTTGTATGTACATTTTGTGTGTGTGCATGTAAATTTCACATCCAAGAAAGAGAAAACCAAACCAAAACATAATGTGTCTATTAACGTGTATAATCATCAGTGGACATTTTTCCCTTCGCTTCATAGTCAACATGTATTAAAAGGAACTATGTTTTCTCCTAATTTGGAAAAGTACCATGAATTTGTTACAGGAGGGTAGCTACAGGGTGAGTTTGGTTAGAAGGTAAAAATCTTAATTCAATAAGAAAGAAGACTCATATTTCCTCTTAAGTAACTAAAACACTGTAGATGTTCAGTTATTAAAGATTACTAAAGAATTTTGCAGCTAGTGATGTTGAAGCTACCTAATTAATCTAACAAGTATGAAAAAGGTATGTCTCTTCCTTTTAACCAAAGTTTAACAGCCAACTCTAACAGCTCAAGAGGCAGAGCAAGTTAAGTATGAATTTTGGCTCCTAAATTATGGGTCTTAATTAGCCAACTTCAGGTTTTGCATATTTTTATAACTTGATTCAAGGGGAACTTAGAAATATGGCCAAAAGTTTGCCAAACATTTCACTATAAATATGAGATTACTCATCTCTGATGTTATCACTTCAAATAAAGAAAGCTAGAACCTGTGACCACATTGAAGATGTCAGCTGAGAGATCTCATTAAGTCCATGTGGTTTGGGGATACCGTTCACCAAATATACCCTGTGTTTCTTATAGGCACATGATAGCTTAAATTTTCCTACCCACTTGGAGTTAGGTAGAGCCATAAGATTTGTTTTGGCAATGAAATGTGAGCTAAAGCGAGGAGTGTCATTTCCAAGAGGAAGATTTAGGCTAGAGTTATGACGACTTAGCAAGTTAAAAACACAGGGCACCCAATTAAATTTAAATGTCAAATAAACAGCTGATACATTTTTGTGTTTTGTTTTTGTTTTTTACTATAAACATTTCTCATGCAATATTTTAGGACATAATTATACTAAGCAATGATGTTGTTTATCTGGATTTGAATTTAACTGTGTGTCCAATATTTTTCCTGGCAACCCTATTTTAAGTGCCAGTGTGCATTTTATCATGTGCTCTCCACCTCTGGCATAGTGATCATTAATCTCGAGATGGTGGGTGCTCCATCAACCAAGGTCCCTAATGGAATATGATGACCAGAGCCCCCGGCTGACCTGCAGTGGGCATGTAGAATATTCAAGAAATAACCTTGTTGTTACAACAGCATACCCTAGCCTACCCTGACTGATATAGGTACTGCCTGGCATGGGACCTCACCATATCTCATTCTGCAGGATTGGTGCTCCAGGGTAGCCTGTGTATTCATTCTCAATAATCAGATTGTCGTTCTGCCTTTTCCCCTTTAAGGTGGACTTAGGCGAAGGCAAGATTTGCTTCTGTTGTGAAGAATTTCAACCAGCCAAATGCACAGACAAAGAAAATGCCTTGAAACTCTTTCCGGTTCAGCCTTGTAATGCTGTTCACCTGCTACTCAAGGTACTCGAATGGATTCGACCCTCATCAGTAAATAGGCTATAGAGCCCCCAAGAAGGCAAAGTTACTTGAAATATTCCTACCCTGTTACCTCCCTCCAATAATTGGGCTGCTGAACGCAGATAGGACCCAACCCTCATCAGTGACCCAGGGACAGAACTGAGTTCAGGAAAAAGCGCAGATTACTCTGTGTCTCTTAAATTACGAATGGATGGCTTTCTTTGTGTTCAAGAATTATAAGATAGCGAAAAATGTAAAGAAGCCTAAATATATACATATGTATGTATATATATTTATGTACATATATATCCATACCACACACGATGCAACTACACATATATGATGTAGCTTTTAGCAAAGCCTTTATTTTATGTTTTTTAACCTTTTTTTGATGTTTATTTTTTGAGAGGGAGAGAGACAGAGTGTGAGCAGGGGAGGGGCAGAGAGAGAGGGAGATAAAGAATCCAAAACAGGCTCCAGGCTCTGAGCTCTCAGCACAGAGCCCGATGAGGGGCTCGAACTCATGAACTGTGAGATCATGACCTGAGTTGAAGTCAGATGCTTAACTGACTGAGCCACCCTGGTGCCCCGGCTTTTATTTTATATTTCAAGTAGGCCCACACACATGTGGGGTTTGAACTCACGAACCTGAGATCAAGAGTTGCATGCTGTATGAACTGAGCCCACCAGGTGCCCCGGCCTTGAGCAAAACGTTTAAACTGCATGCCCGTTTGTCCTTGTACTGATGCTCCTTTGTTGGCTTCATCGAGTCCTGTGGGCTGTTGGGTGATGTTCAGCCAGGACACATAGGCTTGGGAGAGATATCTGTTAGTAAATGCAAGAGAAATTCAAGCACCTTACCTCTTGTTTAATAGGCTGCAACTATAGTAACTGAGAGATTAAAAATAAATGATTCCAGTTGCAGAGAGGAGTTCAGAATTACCCTTTCTTAGGGAATTGGATGAAAGTTTTGTCCTGACTTAAGCAAGGCCGCTAGTCCCGTGAGTGACAAGATCAGTTGGTGAACCCTGAGGTATTAGCTTTTGGATAATCCCTCACTGACAGACAGGCTTTCTTCAGATCTTTCTTTTGGGTTTATTTTTTGTTCAAAGGAGGGATCTCTCAGCTGCCAGCTCTCTGAATTGTGTAGAGTGTGAAAATGGCCTTCTTTCTTTGGCTTCTTGGTTTTCTGGTAGCTGAATCGCCCCCAGACTTTCCGAGCCACAACCCCTCTTGGGGAAAGCCTCGCTAAGGAGCCAGGACTGTGGCAACAGAAACTTCTGGAATTGCCTTTCCTGCTATTTTGAGACGTGTTTAGAGAAGAGACGCCCTGTTTACACTCTGGCTGGCCTGCCCCCCTGCGTTGTCATAGTTAGGTGCCCAGGGCAGCCCAGCCGGTCGCTCCTGAAATAGAAGCCGTGGCCACAGATTAAACAGCATGCTGTCCTGCTGGGAGGCTGCAGGAGGGGGAGGCGGGGAACTGCTATCATTGAGGACCCCACCTTCAGAACCGACACTCAGCTGCTCTCCTGGAAGGAACGTTTCCAGACCACATTCTGATGCTTGCAAAAAGAAAAATCGTAATCCTAGGGCTTTTGGGGACAGCAAGCTTCCGAGATCAGTTTTTAAAATTAAGAAGTATACATTACTGCCTGAGAGTCCTAATAATAACCAGCATTTATCTGGCACTTACCATAAGCCAAACGTCAAAGTCCTTTGCGTGGTTTTTCTCATGAGAATCGCCTTGTTGGGACATTACCATTATTATTTTTAAAAGTTTTGATATTGCCTTCTGGTCATCAGCTTTGAAGTACTCGGTGGTGTTATTATTTCCCTGTTCTAGAAAGTTCTTTTCGCCCTGTGTGCCTTGAACGCCCTGACCACCACCGTCTGCTTGGTGGCAGCTGCCCTTCGCTACCTCCAGATATTTGCAGCCCGAAGATCCTGCATCGTAAGTCCAGACACGGGGACACCAGGACTGTGTTGCACTGAGCCTTTGTAGCAAAGGTCGTTGACTAACCAAGGTGTTGTTTCATTAGGATGAGTCCCAGATTTCTGTCGAAGAGGTGGAAGAACATGGACGGATCCCAGACCCCGATGATTTCGTGCCGCCAGTGCCCCCGCCTTCATACTTCGCCACATTTTACTCGTGTACACCCCGGATGAACCGCAGGTAGCCTGGGTGCCCCCACCCCAGCTCTCTGTGAGGACTCATGGAGGATTGTGTTATTTTCCAGGATTTTCTATCCCCCCCACCCTGCCCTTTTGTCTGATAAACCACGCCAAACCAAAGAAAAGTCACACCTTGACCTAAGGGTACGCTTTTTCCACTTCAATTAGCTTCCCAGGAAAACTGACACCCAGTGAGATGGCTGCTATAATGTGACAAGATTGAGAGCTGCCGTTGCCCTGGAAACATGCTCAGGCCAAATCGATGTTCATTATAACACCATCAGCAGGTTCCCAAATCATGACATTCTTCCCAGCCATTAAAAAAAGATTAATTATTCATGACGTCTCCCTGGTCTAGAAAAAATAGACACCATGCTTGTTTTCTTTTTCAAATTCTAGCTCGAAATTTATCGTTTGTTTCTTAAATCTCAGGAATAACTGTTTGCAGAAAGAAATGCTGCATGTGTTTTTCTGGTTGGTAGTGACTTCTAGAATTATACCTCTTTAAAGATTGACTTCATTTATTCATTCAACAAACATTTAATCAGTCCTCGGCTGCTTCCTAGTCACCATGCTGGGTTATTGACATTCCAGATGAGTTAGATCCGCCTTCTTCCCCTCTCTATAGCTCAGAGTCTGGGTCATTATGGAGGAGTATTGCAAGGATCATAGTAGATCTCAAGAGAGAGATTTGGGTGCACAGAGGAGGCCCACATAACCCATGATCGTGAATGGGCTGCAGAGAGCTTGAAGGCAGAGTCAGCCAGCCAGAGTTGGCTTTCTGGATGAAGTGATCTTAAGCTGAATTTAAAGGATAAGCAAACTATATTTAAGCTTCCAAAAGAAAAATCTCTGAATTCGATAAGACTGGCGTCTTTAGCTCAATATTCAGAGGGCCAGGAATTTCTACTTTTAATCCCCAAGGTACACAAAGGAGAGTGGTCAAATTTGGTGCCAGGCTTGAGGTTTTTGGAAATCCATTTTCTAATGCTCAGGGCAGCCACATGTGGCTTTGAAATAGGTCTCCAGTGGGAGCCCCTACACAGATGCCGTTAATGTTCTTTTCGGTGGGTTGTCTTCCTGCCTTGTCGCTCAGAGTTGTACCTAAACCCCATCTCCATGCCCTCCTCTGCTCACCCACCTAGGGGCAGGTAGGGATGGCCACAAAGCTGGAGGGGACAGCTTCTGGGTGCACGGAGGACAGCTCAGCCTCCCTGTTGTTCAAGGGGTGGTGTGCTAGAATGTCAAAGCTTCGGGGGGTAGGATGACTTCCCTAGTCTTTTAGGAAATGAGCCAAGAATTACAGGGGCCAGAGAGACAGAGCAATAGAACACATATTCCTTGTGCACGTAGAACACATTTGCTCATACTGTAGCCCAGTTTCAGGCTGTGTGCAGTGGACATATTGGAAGGCCGTAGAAAATGCCTGTTATTTCATGGTTGGGAAGAGAAATGCCCTCTTCAGGAAGAAGAATTAATTGGCTTTCTGATATTGTGGGTGAGCCCTTGGTTGACCTACGAGGAGGCAGCAGACAGATTTAATTTCCTGCGGTGGCAGAAAGGGAAAGTGACTCATGCGGGTGTTGGAGTCCTGCTGTCCAGCAGTGTCCCTCCCCACTTCCCTTCCCCTCTCTTCCATTTCTCTTATCAGTTCCTCCATAGTAATGCTTATCAATGTGGGTATATCCACCTTTGGGTGCATCCCTGGATTTGCCCCTCTGAGTCCTGAGACTGTCCTCTCCAAATCCAGACAAGCATCTCCTCAAGAGCTTTGCCTTTCAGAACTTGCCAGAAGGAACACGGAGGAGGGTGTTAAAGTAACCCATCCCTAGGGGCACCTGGGTGGCGCAGTCAGTTAAGCGTCCGACTTCAGCCAGGTCACGATCTTGCGGTCCGTGGGTTCGAGCCCCGCGTCAGGCTCTGGGCTGATGGCTCAGAGCCTGGAGCCTGTCTCCGATTCTGTGTCTCCCTCTCTCTCTGTCCCTCCCCCGTTCATGCTCTGTCTCTCTCTGTCCCAAAAATAAATAAACGTTGAAAAAAAAAATTTTAAAGTAACCCATCCCTGTGAGAAAGAAGACACTGCTGGGCCTGAAGTATATACCTGGAGGCCGAGATCATATCTCCAATGGGCAAACACCCTTATTTTCTGCAATTCTCCCAATATCAGAGGGCAGTCCACTTTCCTTACTAAAATGGCTAAATGTATTCACCTTTGCATACATATTGTATCAAAAGCATTCTTAAATTTGGCCGACTTTGCTAGATTTTTAGCTATCTACCTTATAGACACTAGCTGTTCAACTTTAACTGGTAATTTTCTTTCTTGTAAGCAGCAGGCAAGAAGATTGATGAATGTTTTCTTTAGTATTTCCACAACCGGTTAAGAGTTTTCACACAATGGAAGCTCCCACTTCCTGTAAGATACCATGACCTCTCAGAGAAGTTTATTTATTTAACTTCTATAAATACAACCACTTCGTGCATTGGTACCTCCCTGAGAAAGGGCTTCTCAAATTACCATCATAAACAGAAACCTGATTGCAGTGAAGGTTTCTGTGCAAAGATGGGTTTCTGTCTCGTGACTTGATTTGTAAGGGCAGCAGGGGCTGTGTCTTCTTCTTCCGTCACCCCGGGGAGCCCCCCATCCTCAGAAATCGGCTGGAGCCAGGAGTCAAGAAGCAGAGCTTCTGACCTATTCCGTGACTGTGGACCTAGTTGAACCATGGTGATGTAATGTGTTACGGAAAACTTAAGATTATAGAAAGCAGAACACGGGCAATTTGTTTCTTGGTGGTAAACATAACAAGCTCATTTCCTTTCCTAATGAAGTTCAAAACCCAAACTCAAGTGGAGCCAGGCTGTGCTGGTGGGCGACTCGGTGCTCAGTGCACCCTTGCCTGGCGTCCACATCACTGTTCCAGGACATAGGGGGGGACCACTCGTTGGTCGTATGAGTTGCTGTATGACCCTTGCCTGAGTTCTCAAGGCCTAGTGGTCAACGTAAAGCAGAATGCATTTGGCATGGTCTGTTCGGGTTTTCTGTCTACCTTCAGTAGTGAAGGCTTCCTGGAGAGTTTGGGATGAACTTGAAAGAGCCCAAACTCTGGAGTCTGTTACCAGGCTGCCCTTAGGGGATCTCTTACCATTTCTGAGCCCCAGATTCCTTCTTCAGCTGTGGTGTCACATGGCTGCTTAGCTGATTTTTAAGAGACAAAAATCTCTTTATCTGTATGGGCCCCACCACAGGCAATTAGAGCAGACTTTCTAGAGGTGAGGCCTGGGCCTTCCATAGTTTGCAAAGAAACACAGGGGGAGCTGGCTGAGGGATTTGGGAGTACAGGAAAGATTGTTCTGGAGAGGACAGAAGTAGTCCCTAGGGCTCACTGAGTGAAATGAGCCTCCTTGTTCACTGGTTGTATCGTTAGGAAAAAAGAACATCACATGTTTTTCAACTTTTTTCCTCCACCAGAGTGGGCACAGGAATAAAATGAAACAACTGTAACCCCCCAGAGCACCTTTCTGAGAAAAGCAGGCCCTGCACGCAGCTGGCCCAGAATCTATCACCAGTCTCTTCAGGTTATGTCCCATTTTCACATTTCAAGAACAGATGTTCAACTATTGCTCCTGTCTCTTATTTTCATTCTCTAATACTCCACAGCCTGAGTACAGATGTTCTGGTCTTCCTTGAGTCTTTTAAAGAATGAGATATAATTGACCTAGAACATTCTATTAGCTTCAGGTGTACAGCATAATGATTCAGTATTTGTGTATATTGTGGAGTGATCACCGTGGTAAATCATCACACATAGTAACAGGATTGTTTTTCTTTGGTTGAGAACTTTTAGGGTTTACTCTCTTAGCAACGTTCAAATATGCAATACAATAGTATTAACGGCAGTCACCCTGCTGTGTATTATATCCGTAGGACTTATTTATTTTATAACTTGAAGGTTGGTCAACAGGTACAAGAGTCTGTGTATTTTAAGCTACCATTTTACAATTTAGGTTCTTTACAACCTTTTTGCGTGTGTGTGTAGTTTTTTACGAACACAGGCAGAAAATCTTGAGATTTGTTTCTTCATTTAAATTTTTTTTAATGTTTATTTATTTTTGACACAGAGAGAGACAGAGCATGAGTGGGCAATGGGCAGAGAGAGAGGGAGATACAGAATCCCTGGAGGCTCCAGGCTCTGAGCTGTCAGCACAGAGCCTGACGCGGAGCTCGAACTTGTCAACTGCGAGATCATGACCTGAGCCGAAGTCGGACTCTCAACTGACTGAGCCACCCAGGCGCCCCTGTTACTTCATTTATTTGCTTTGGAGGGTCACTCACTCACAGGACAAAAGCCACAGTGCCTGGCATGAAGCAAGTGCTCAGTGTTTGTTGACTGACTACATTTAAGATGGGTTACTCTGTGACTCCTGAAGTACACTGCTTTGTCTTTGAGCTGTGATGTCGCTCGCTTTTCTGGAAAAATTAATTCATCCCTTCAACTATTTAACAAACAGTGAGTTTCCATGAGTGAGTTTCCATGAATCAGACATTAGGGAAGCCCAGGCAAGAAATCTTGTCGTATCCTAATGTAAGAAATAATTGAGCTTCCCTGAGTCCCTAGTTTTGTTTTTGTCTTTCATTGAGGTGACATTCTCATAACATGAGTAGAACCATTGGAAAGCGTACCATTGAGTGGCATTTGGTACAGTCACCATGTTGTGCAACCTCCACCCCCATCTGGTTCTGCAGCAATCTCATCACCTCCAGGGAGGCTGGTACCCACTGAGCAGTTATGCCCCAATCCCCTCCCCAGCCCCTGGCAGCCATTAACCTGCTTTCTGTCTTTGGGATTATCGCTTGCTTTGGATTTAAAAGGAATGATGGCAGGGGCACCTGGGTGGCTTAGTTGGTTGAGCACATGGCTTCGGCTCAGGTCATGATCTCATGGTTCGTTAAGTTCAAGCCCCACATCAGGCTCTGTGCTGTCAGCTCTGTGCTGGAACCTGCTTCAGATTCTGTGTCTCTCTCTATCTCCACCCCTCCCTGACTTGCTGTGTCTCTTTCTTTCTCAAAAATAAGTAAAAACATTGAAAATCATAAAAGGAATGATGGCATTGCACTTGCCTAAGAAACTCTGGGCTTTCCATCGGAGAGCAGTTTAGACTATCCCCTGCTCCAGGGCCGGGAGATGGTCATGGAGGACTGAGGGGTCATCCACGCTGTCAGTGGATAACCCTCCACGGGCAAAGGCCACCATGCAGTTAGTTGCAGCTGCTGTCAGATGCGCAGAATTCCCGTAGAATCTGCTTCCTGATGCCAAGATGCTTTTTCTAGGATCGTCGGTCCTGATGTTATTCCACTCCCACATATCTACGGAGCGCGAATCAAAGGTGTGGAAGTGTTCTGTCCTTTGGACCCCCCGCCTCCCTATGAGGCTGTGGTGAGCCAGACGGACCAGGAGCAGGTACAGTCTATAGTTTCTCCTTGGTACCTTGACTGCTAGTAGGAGGTGCAGCATGGGGCACAGAGAACGGTGGGAGACTGGGCCCTGCACTTGCTTTGAAGTTCAGTGGAGTCCAGATGGGGGTGGGGTTGAGTATCACCAGATGACCCTCTTTTCTCCTGTGACGTAGGGATCTTCATTCCACATGCCAGAAGGATCAGAAGGTGCCATGAGCCCCTTGGAGCCAATCTGCATGCCAGTGACTCAAGGTAATAAACATTATCACTGCTCAAACTCAGGGTTCAGTAGCGTAAGATACAAAATGGTGACCTATATGATACTTTGTTGGGGGTCAGATACCTTGGAGCCAATGGTCCACACTGTATCCTTTGTCCAGGTGTAAAAGTACTGTCAACAATTAGGGTTGGCAAGTGGGAGATACTATGTAAACAGAAATAAAGATATCCTTAGAATTTTTTTAGGAGTGGGGTGCCTGGCTGGCTCAGTCGGTTAAATGTCCAACTTCGGCTCAGGTCACAATCTCACAGTTCATGGGTTCAAGCCCTGCGTCGGGCTCTGTGCTGACAGCTCAGAGCCTGGAGCCTGCTTGGGATTCTGTGTCTCCCTCTCTCTCTGCCCCTCCCCTGCTCGCACTCTGTGTCTGGCTCCCTCTCTGTGTCTGGCTCCCTCTCTTAAAAATAAATAAACATGACAAAAAAAATTATAAGAAGAATCTTTGAGGAGTAACAAGGCTCTTCACCCTGTGAAATGGATTATAGATTATAATTTGGCAGTCCCATGTTTTCCCATCTCAGATTTTCTTTCTCCTGTTAAAATAAGCTGGGCTCTTTTTAAAGGGAAAAAGGAGTTTTGTTGATTTCAGGATGATTTTCTGTGAGATTGCGCTGTCATTTTTAACCTAGGGTCTATGTCACGGTGCCTTCACACAGAGTGAATGCTGATTTTCAGTCCTGCCTCAAAACGCTAGAGTCAGTTTACAGCTATCCTTGTCCTTTAAGGGAACACTGTTACAGCTTTCTTTCTTTCTTTGGAGAGGTTTTAAATGGCCCAGAAAACTGTCCACCAGCACAAAATGGCAGTGGTGATAAATAATGGATCAAGTGTAGCTATTTTCGACGGAGGCGAATTTTCAGTGGCGCCGTTTGGAACAGGTCTCTGTTCTGCTCACCTTCCATCTTCGAATACTGCAGCTGCGTTCTCCCTCCTAAGCATGTTTGGGATTCTTCCACTTCTTAAAAAAAGTTGCCCAGACCACACTCAGGCTCACAAATGACGTGATTTGGTCATCCTGAGCAGAAGTCACCCGTTTCTTGAGTGGTTTTACCTATCTGCTCAGCGGCCCTGGCTCTTTCCCTTGGCCTTCAGGAGTTCCCGAGCGTGGCCTCCACTCTGGACCGTGCAAATGCCTCGTCTTTCTGCCTTTGGTCTGCAGCCCTCACAGTCACCTTACCCGGGCAGGCATGTACTTCCACCCACGCAAGCTCACCCTGAATTCTCAGAAACAGGGAAAGCGGCCAGGAGCTTTCCCTGGAGAAGATTCTAACACTCTTAGGAAAACAAACACGCACACACACACACACACACACACACACCCTGACATTTTGGAATGGCTTCTTTACTTTGCTCTGCTCTTTGACTTAAAGTTTTTTGTTTGCTTGTTTTAGGTGTGGAGGGATGGTTTGGAGAGGCGGCAGTTCCCACAGTGCTGGGAAGTAAAAACTCACTGGGCCGGGAGCCGAAGCAAATGTTGTTCACTGTATTTTCCTGCCCCTACAGGTTGGGGCTCACAGGTGTTTCCTGCCCAACATTTTGAAGGCAGCAGCTGGTGAAATAATGTGCGTTTCTCTCTTTTTTTTTTTTTAAAAAGAATCAGGTGGGGACAGTCCTAACATACCTGGAGAAGAAAGTGGATCCGTGTCAGCGCCCGATGCAAACCAGCTGCGTCCTGCGGGAAGCCGGAGAGCCCCGCCGCAGCTGAGGGCGAGATCCAGGAGCGACCCTGTGCTCCATCATTCCGCGGAGAGAGGTGATGGCACTCCCCAAGCTACTTGCAGGGCCCCGTGCACGTGTTTGCCCAAAGGTGCCTGGTGAAAGCTGGGGGTGGGGTGGGGGCAGTTTAAGAGATGTCTAGAAAGAGGTTAAGAGGTCTTGGGAAAATAAGATATTCTGCATGCACATTAGGAAGATATATCTGCCCCATCTTTTAAGACTGGTATTGAGTTTTTCAAGTCATTGTTAGCAAAAGCATTTGGTTGCACATGACCGTGGAGTGCTACTATGTGAAGAAAACAATGCAAACGTGACTCTGATTTCTGGGTGCTCACAGTCCTGTGGAAATAAACCTTCTCTCTGAAGGAAAAAGTTAAAGGGCTGTATTTTTTTACCCTCTCTCTTTTGATTTATCTTTTTTTTTTTTTTTTTTTTTTTTTTTTTTTTTTTTTTTTACTGTGTATGAGTACTTGAGTTATTTAAATCTGGCTTGTTTTGAGAACTTTAGACAGAGTGAGACTCCAGTTTTCTCCCTCTCCATTTTGAGTTTGTGTGTAGATGTTATTTGAATAATTTTAAATCAAAAAAATTTTTTTAATTAAAAATTTTTAAGTAAAGTTTTTTTTTAACGTTTATTTATTTTTGAGAGAGTGCATGCAAATGTATGCACGTGGGCAGAGGAGGAGCAGAGAGAGGGAGGCAGAGAGTCCAAAGTGGGCTCCACACTGACTGCAGAGGGCCCGATGTGGGGCTCGAACCCATGAACTGAGAGATCATGACCTGAGCCGAGGTCAGATGCTCAACCAACTGAGCCACCCAGGCACCCCCCAAATTTAAAAATTTTTAAAAATTTAAAGAACATTGAGTCCTTTTTCTGGATACGTGAATACCTGAATACGTGAATACCAACTAGCTCTTCATTGTGGAAAATCGTAAAAAATAAAGGAAATAAAGGAAGACAATGAAACTGTAAGGCCACCAGTACAGGCTTCTTTCGGTGACCTGTTCTAACAAGTAGCCTCCGCTCTCCTGAAGCTCGATGCAAATACGACTTTGCAAACGCTCTCCCCCTGCTCTGTCTGGGGCCCCGTGTTGTCCTCCCCCCACTTGTAGTGTTGGTTCTGTCCCTCTAACAGCCTGTGTTGTTTGCCACAGCTCTGGACTGACCTTGTGGGCGCCAGAGGGAACATTCCTCTTGTCTTCTGCGCTGGAGGAGTCCCACCGCCTGGGACTGAGCACCTCTGCAAGCCCACAGGCCAGCAGCCTGGCCCCTCAGCTCCCCAAGCCCATTTCACAGAGGGTCTCTACCCTACCTGGCAAGTTGAGGACTCGAGCTGGCCACCTGCCTGCTTCCACGGGAACTTGGCTGTCTGAACAGCTTAGTGAGATCCTTCCAGAGCCCCTCCCCCATTCTGCAGTGCTGCGGGGGCAAGGATGACACATGTTTACCTGTTGGAGCCCTCAATTGTAGAAGGGACCAGATTGCCTTCCAGTGAAAGTATGCAGTCCCTGACCATCCTCACACATGAGTGTCTGTAGGGACCATTTCTGAAAACTTCCTGCTCTGTGTGGGAACATGCACATGGCAGCCTGGAGGATGCCACTAACCCCTGTTTAGAGCTCCCCATGTCTACTTTTCTCCAGAGGAAAAGGAGTGCTCCCCTTCCTCCTGTTCTCCCACCCTCCGCCTCCTTTCTTCCTCGAATATCAAATTTCCGCTTGTCAGGCCTTCACAGACTCAATTCTCCAGTGCCGTGTACGCTGAGGGCTGCTGGCTGGCTGACGAAAACGTGGAGACCAGGTCTGAGTTTCACTTCACCCACTTGATGGTGCAGTAATGTTCTGCTGGCCCTGAAACCCTTCTGATGTAGGTAGCTGTGGAAATTAGGGCCTGTGGTGGATTTCCCAGGCCACGTGTTGACTTCGAGAATGACATGTGATTTTTCTGCACCTAGATTTTTCTCTCCTTAATAGTCAGCCATAGAGCTACCTCCCAGTCATGGTGTGAGCATCTATAAGTCAGCACCATGCCCTGAGGATGTTTAGGGCAAAGGTACAGTCACAGGGAGCAGAGCACTCCATTCATCCCACAGTCTTGTCTCTCCTCAGTCTAAGTGCCACCTTCACCTTCCCCCCCGCCCCTTGGAACATTCTTTCATCGGGCCGGCCATCTCTTTTCCTGTTTCCTGCTCGCCACCCATCCCCACTTACCGGTCATTACTCCATGGAACCATTGCTCCGTTGCAGTTTGCATTCTGGATGCTCTTCTCTATCATCTGTCTTCAGCTTGGTGGTTGTGTTTTATGTGGCACAATAAAATGCTTCGGGGACATGTCCTTTTGGAACTTCAGGGAATAAGTTTGTGTCGTCGTCGTTGTTGTTTTCCTTTTCCCTCTGCAAGACGAAAAGCAAGACGTGCATGGTCATTGGCATTTGCAACATGCTTTCCACGCCAAGTTTAGTGGCCCTCACTGTCTCCGTCCAGGCGTGCGTTCACGGGGGCATGGCCAACGGGCATGTATTGTCTGTCTCTGCCCACAGCTGCCCCGGTGCTCAGCTGTGAAGCTGCCACGCAGACAGAGGGAAGACCGCAGCTGGCCACGGTGACTTTGAGGAGAGGTCTGAGATGCAGAGCCTCACGATGCCGGCCTCGGTCCCTGATAGATTACAAGTCCTACATGGACACCAAGCTGCTGGTGGCCAGGTTCCTGGAGCAGTCCTCCTGCAGTATGACCCCGGACATCCATGAGCTCGTCGAGAACATTAAATCTGTTCTGAAGTCTGACGAGGAGCACATGGAGGAGGCCATCACGAGTGCCAGTTTCCTCGAACAGGTAGTTTTATTACTCGTCTCGGGCGCAAGTCGGAGAACTTGTTTCCATGGCAGCTGAGGCAGCTTCTCTGATTTCCAGTCCAAGGCACATAAGTTCCTGGTCACGTATCAAGGGAATTGGGATTGTTAGGAGGTCTGGGGAGGGAGAGAGAAGAAGCTGAAGCACTTTCTTTTCAGGTGTGATGACTTTTCCACAGGCTCCTTGGCCCAGGGAGAGAAAGTGATTTTCCTAGGACGTGGAAGCACTCCTAGGAAAAGAAAGGGGTGCAGCTCAGGCAGAAGAGCAAGGAGTCTGGGCATTGATTGATAGGGCATGGTTTCTCAGCCCTGTGACAATGATGGACATCCCTAAATTTTAAAATTGGCAGCATTCTGGGAGCTGTTGATATTCCCACGAAGTACTGGCAAGATATCTAAACCAATAGGACTTAAAGGAATAAATGCCTTTTCCTCTGCATAGATTAAAAACCACAAGGCAATTCCCTAATCTGAAGTCACCCAGTGGAAAGATAACATCGGGCACGTAATATAATCCATTTGGGTGTCCGTTTTCTCATTTTTACCTATTTTATTTGATTATTTAATGTGTATTTATTTATTTTGAGAGAGAGAGAGAGACAGAGAGAGAGAATCTCAAGCAGGCTCTGCACTATCAGCACAGAGCCCGATGTGGGGCTCAGACTCATGAGCCGTGAGATCATGACGTGAGCCGAAATCAGGAGTCGGACACTTAACTGACTGAGCCACCCAGGTGCCCCAGTTTTCTCATTTTTTAAAAAAGTGAAGCCTTGGACTGGGTGGTCTCCACCCCTGTGCCTCTGAACGAAGAGGGTTTGCTCCTGATGAGAACTGCGGACGGGTCACAGCTTTAATTACCCACCTCTTTTAAAAGCCGTTATGTTTTAGGCACTTACTTTGTTGCCCCTTGTATGAGGGGCGGCCGTGGTAGATCTCAGAGCACAGTGGCTCACGGGTGATGCCTGCCGGTGTCTGTGTGCATTAAGTGCCCAACGCATACACTGGGCTGCTGGGCCCAAGGGAAGTTGCCACAGGGTCCTCGGTGAGTTGTTAAGACGGACAAAGTCCCTGTTCATCTTCCTTTCCGTTTCCCCTTTCTACCTGCTGGCCTCTTTTGACAGAAGCTAGTTTCTCTCCTGGCCCCTCAGGGGACCCAGGGGAGTAGAAGAGACATCTGATTACCCACATGAGCAGGTACGTGAACTGGAGACCCTCTTGTTGGCTGTTTTCTAAACCAGTGGTCAGCCTGTGGTCTTGGGTCAGGCTCTCGTTAGTGTCTGTGTAGGGGAGACATTTACATCCTCATATCCCGGGCCCACGCCGGAAGTCATTCCCTACCTCCTCCTCTCTGTCCAGCCCCGACAGCCCGAGAAACAGCAAGCATTTGGAGCCACTTGTGCAAGGCTGCCAAGCCCTAGGGAGGTGAGAGCTGGCGTATCTGCCAAGCCATTGGCGTGGACCTTCTGCACGGGCTCCTCTGGAAAACAGCTTTGGGGAAAAAGAACAAGCACTTTCAGTTCGACAGATGCTGTCACCGCGAATGTCTGCTGGGTCTTTGTGCCAAGTCTGGATAAAAGTTCAGGCACTGGGATTGCTGCAGTGGACTCCGGGTCATCTGCTGGCTCCTTCCAGGAGTGGCCCCCAGCAGTGATGTGTTGTAATGTCACGTCTCTCCCCAGACAGAAGGAAGTAGGGACAAGCAGAAGGAGAGCTTTTATTTCTGACTCCACTCAGCTTTGCACATTTTTACTCTTCCTGGTATTACTAGAATGCGTTTTTAGAGCCATTTTAATTTTTATCTGTGTCAAAACCACTTGCCCTAATTTACACGCAATGACAATTGACGTCTATGATTGCTGGAGTTTTCTTTTTAACCAGAAGGACAAATATAATAACAGTATGGTAGCAAAATTTAATGTCCCATCCCTTGGAGGGATTTTCTTCCCATGACCTTAAAATCTCAGAATGGTACAGGGGTGCCCTGGTGGATCAGTCGGTTAAGCGTCCGGGTTCAGCTCAGGTCATGATCTAACTGTTCCTGGGTTCGAGCCCCACGTTGGGCTCTGTGCTGACAGCTCGGAGCCTGGATCCTGCTTCAGATTCTGTGTCTCCCTCTCTTTCAGCCCCTCCCCCGCTCATGCTCTCTCTCTCTCTCTCTGTCAAACATTAAAAAAATTTTTTTTAACTCTCAGAATGGTATAAATGAGACAAAAAGTCATCCCAATGATTGTTTTCTGATAGAACAATCACAGGTAGTAATGAAGCACCTGGGTTTTTCTAAAGTCACTAACAGTATTACAGGTCATATAGTCATGACTGTGCCGCTTCTGGAAACTTCCATGTACCTACCCGACAATTCTCCCCTCGTCAATCCCAATTGGATGAGGAATTCCCTGTATTTTTGCCATTTTACGAAGTAAGCGCTATTCTGACATGTTTAAAGTCACATATGTGCTCCACTGCAAAACAGATCGAGCAGTAGAACCATTCTGAAACATTTTTACAAATAGAGTGGCTTAGTTTTTATGTTGTTTATTGTGTTTTTTATCCAAGGGTTGTCAGGTCAATTGGAAGCGTCGCTGGTTTTGGTTGACATTTTCTAACCTCATTAGCTGGACTCCATGCCAGACTGGTAGTTACTCACTTTTCAAGCACATTGCTGTCACCTGGGCTCCTGTTAGAACTACTGATGCTCCAGCCCCATGTCACAATTGCTGTCGGGGAGCTGGGAATCCATGTCACCAGCTCCTGTCCCCTCCAGAAACGTGGAGACCCGGGAGGTAAAGTGAGGCAGGTGGGCAGCCGACACCATAGGAAATTGGGGAATTTCGTAGGAACGTTAGAAAAGAGGCAGTCTGTTGAGAGCATCTGTGAATTCCAGCCGTGTTCCACATGGGGAAAACAGCCTATTTTCTTTTCCAAAGCAACTGAGCTACAGAGTGCATGAATGGATAGAGGAGGCCGGTTGCAGGGACCTCATGTGCTGAAGCTTAACGTGTCCCTCGCCCTCTTCTTCTCCCCAAGATCATGGCCCCGTTGCAGCCCAGCACTTCCAGGGCCCACGTGCCACCCTCCCGGAGACAGCCTGGACTCTTGCACCTGCAGAGCTGCGGGGACCTCAGCACCTTCGTCCCGGCGGGGAGGCCGAGAGCCCAGAGGAGGCCCCGGCGAGCCGAGGCCGAGCGGCCCCACAGCCTCATCGGCGTCATCCGGGAGACTGTCCTGTGAACCTGTGAGGCCAGGCCCCTGGGGGGGCAGGAAGGAAGATGGACCCGGAAGGAGGAATGATCCCCCACCACGGGGTCCCCTGGCTGGGAGTTGGCGTGCCCTCTGGGAACTCCTTAAAAGGGGGGGGCATGCTGGAGGACATTTGTCCCCCCTCTCCGGCACCTCGTTCTGCTGACTGAGCGCATTCAGGGGTGGACAGGCAGGTTCTTCCGGGCACTTTTGGCTTTTGGATGCACAGATCTGGAGGCCTCTGCCAGGTCACCTGGGCAGAAAGTGGGCTAGTGATTCTTTGCCCAACCCCCCCCCCCCGTGGCTCTCTTCCTCGCCGCGTGCCTCCCTCAGTGGAAGGACAGATCTGCTGGGCCGCTCTTGATAGCTCCCGCAGCCTTTCGCTGCTCCCTGGGAGAGCAGTGGGCACAGAGGCAGGACGATTAACCCCCATGTTTTCTGCACTTGTCAAGCTTCATTTTAGGTCACCCTCAAATCACAGTCTCTTTAGGAAAAACGGGGAACTCATTCAGTGAAAATCGTAACGAAAGACGTTTGGGAGAGGGTCTTGTTGATTCCATTTACTCGTGCTTGCGAAACTAGAGATGGCTAAGGCCTGGCGGAGAATAAAAATGAGTACTTTGGACCTCTGGGCTCGGTGTATACCATTTGCACATGTCTAGGTGACCTAGGCCTTTCCTTAGGAAGGGCTGAACACTTGAAGCAGAGGTGGGCAGCTGCTCTGGTCCAGGCAGACCACCAAACCGGCTTCATCTCCAAAGCACCATCCCCCCTGGGGATCACAACACGACCTTCGTTCATTCAGCCAGCGCTTGGCTGAGTGGCTTCAGGGAACGGCTTCCTTCTAGCTGGGCCATGAGCAGCAGATCAGTCATTATAGACTGGGGATTCATGCGAAGAAGGGAGAGAAGGTTTCTTTGAAGAGCTGATGTTTGAGCAGGGCTCGACTTTGAGAGTCAGGGAAGGCTGCTGCAGGAGGAGCGAATGGCCAATGCAACCCTCAGCGCTAGAGGCCAATGGGAGCAGAGAGAGGGCAGAGGTGGGAGGAACCTCAGGCTGGATTTCCCTGCTAACCGTGAGCTACCCCTACCCCGGAAGAGTTTTCAATTGGAGTAACAGATTCCATTTACATTTCAAGAGATCAGGTGCAGCTGGAGAATAGTTTAGTTTGGGGGCTGAGGCTATAAAAGGAGAGACTGTCTTCCTTGCCAGGCCCTGCGTGTGCTCCGGGGACTGTGGTAGGGGGACTTCCAAGCTCTCGGTTCACCTCCCGACGGCCAAAGAGGTGGGTGCTCTTCCTGGTCCCATTTTACAGATGAGGAAGATGAGGTTTCCTAACTTGCTCAAGGTCCCTCAGCCCTTCAGTGGTAGAGATGTCGTGCCCACCTGAGCAGCCCCTCCAGAAGCCACGGTCTCTCTCCACCTCCCGAACAGGTGCAGTCTGACATTTCCCGTTTCTTTCACGCAGTGCTTGCTGAGGCCTCTAGCTAGGCTGACGGAAGCACAGACTCTCCTGGCTGCAAGCCGCCAGGCCAGGCCAGAGTGGGAATTGCAGCGGGGCCCCTGGAGGGGCTGAGTAAGGAAGAGGGGGGAAGACCGTTTGGAGGCGCTGGTTGGGGTGGGTGGGGAGCACTGGCTGTGGAAGCAGAGCCGGACGCGAGGGAGAGCTGGGGGCCTGGCAGGCTGCTCTGGGGCGGGCGGGCTGTGTTTGTGGAGGAGGTTGACGGCGGCTTCCCCACCTGCAGTTTCTCTGTTCTCCTCCCCCACCCCCAGGCATTGGACTCTCTGTGGCAGCAAGCAATCTCTTCATTTTTCTAGAAGCCCTCGCCGTCAGCCTCGCAGCTGCCCACTGGGGGTTGGTCCGCTTCCCTGGGATGGGGGTGGGGGGGGGCAGGGAGGGTCTGGCTTTTCTCACATCTCTAGGTTTATGATCTCTCCCATTCTGGGAGGGCATTGTCTTTAGCCGCATCCGTCTTCTTCCCCTCCTGTACCATTACCTCCAACTGCCACTGAGGGCCTCCTCACCCGGAAGGCTCAGAGAAGGGGGGTGGGCACCTCACGTGCACACAGCGTCCGCCTCTCTAGCCTTGGAGGACCACAGAGGTGGTGACAAAGCATCTCAAATGTAGTTACCAGAATGACCCCAGAGGGTTGACTGATTGGCGTGAGGGGTTTTTAAAATACATTTTCACTGGCGAGGTACAAGATGTGTGGCTGGGCAGGAGCCTTGCGTGGGTACCGTTGCCTCTGCTCCCATGGGGAGTAAGAATCGGGTCCCCACTTCGTGAGACTGTCCTGGGATGGATCAGGACACGGGCTGCTCTTTCATAATGTTGGCATCTGTACCTCACCCTTTCACACAAGCTGTGTGTCCAAGTGTCTGAAGACCGAGTGGGACTTTCCCAAGGTTCCAAACTGTTCTGCACAGACATGCCAGTGAGTGTTTGTGTCTGGCTGGCGGAATTTCTTTGAAGATCTGCTTTCTTTGGAACAGCCTACCCAATGGTGAGATTAGGGAGAGGGGTCCGTGGCTGGAACTGCACAAGGCTGCCCATATTTGCCAAAAGAACCAGACATTTGCTGAACAGCTGCACTGGGCAGGTCCAATCCATCTACACCCCCAGTTTGCACATGAGGAAACTGAGTCTCAGAGCAGAAGGAGACCAGTAATTCTGGCTCCAGGACCAGGGCTATGGGTGCAGGTCAGAGCTTCTCAGACTATTGGGGATGAAAGACTAATTTTTTTTCCCCCCTCCAATCTGTCATGGACCAAAAGCTTTTGTGAATTATAGACTGAGTGAAAACCGTGTTAGTTGACTAGGCCTGTTACAACAGCCTACCAAAGACTGGGTGACTGGAGACATAGAAGCTTTATTTCTCACAGTTCTGGAGCCCCTGAAGTCCAAGGTCAAGGTGCTAGCAGATTCGGTGTCGGGTGAGAACACCCCCCTTCCTGGCTTGCAGATGGTGGGCTTCTTGCTGTGTCCTCCTGTAGTGGAAAGGGAGGGAGGGGGAGAGAGGGCAGGCGGGAAGGAAGAAAGAAGTCTGTTCCTCTTTTTCTTCTTCCACTAATCCCATCGTGGGGGCACCACCCTCATAACCTCACCTAAACCCAATTATTTGCCAAAGGCTTTGCCTCCAGATACCAACACTCTTGGCATTAAGGCTTCAACAGATGGACTTTGAGGGATGTGAACATTCAGTCCACAGTACTGATTGACCAGGAAAATGAAATCATAGTAAGGAAAAAAACACAGAAAGATGTAACCTCCCAGCCTTTACTTTTTTAGAGCAGTTTGAGGTTTAGAGCAAATTGAACACCAAGTACAGAGATCTCTCCTACAGCTCCGGCCCCTAGGCATGTACCATTTCCCACTCCCCACCCCCCCATCAGCATCTCACACCCCGGCGCTGCATTTCCAGAACTTACTCTTGTCAGGGGCCAGGAGCAAAGCGTTCTTGGCCTGGGTCAGTGGCCTGCACTCTGAGCGGAGCATGTTGGGATTCCTCCCCTAGCCCCACTTTCAGCCCTGAGTCTGTTTTGTGTGCGGGGCCCTGGGGACACGGATGAGGAAGCCTGGGAGTGGGAAGATGGGCAGACACCCTTCCCTCCGCACCCATGTGTCTCTGAGGCTGCAGTCACATTTAAGACCTTTGGCAAGCCCCTCAGGATTCGGGAGAGCTGGCAGAGGAAAGAAGTAGCTCCTGTCTCCACCCAGCTTTTGGGGAAACAGAACAAAGTAGCACATCTCCACCCTCGCCACCCCTCCACTCCCCCCACCAAAGGAGGGTGCAAAAGAGAACAGTGAAGGGCGTGAGGGAGGGACCCGGACAAGGGCATCTTTGTTTACGTGGTGTTGCTCCCTGCCGCTGCTGCAAGGGAAGCCAAGTCTGGGGCCACAAGGCACCGCATTGCTTCCATTTCTCTCTCCCCGAAGGTTCCATCACCCTCCCACTCACTCAGCAGGTGTTTATTGAGCTCCAGAGTCCAGGCAGCCGGCCAGGTGCTGGGGAAAGACTGCTCAGAGGAGAGAGGGGGCAAATAAAGTCTACAAATAATAAATGCAAGTTACATGTCTCTGGGCTGCTGCTGAATGGCTCCCTGACCCCAAGGGACAGTCTTTTGGTCACCTGGGAAGACTGTAGGTCCTGGGCCTCATTTATCAGGATGGTTTGAAGGATCCTTCATCCTTGACTGTGAACAGGTCCTGGCGGACAAGGTCAGAGCCGCAGGGCAGAGCTCTGCCCACCTGGGCTTGTGGCAGCAGGTGGTTACCATCTTGGAAATCCTTTAAAGAAAAGTTATTCGTGACACCTGTTGAAGATGGGAAGGAAGACTTATTTCAGGAGAAACTGCAGTGGCGTTTTGCAGTAGGGGAGACAGATCAGGCTCAACTCTGACTACAAGGACAAGTGCCAGGGAGCAGGGTGGGGTCAGTGGATGGAAAATGACAAGAGGAGACATCAGGGCTGCGGGATGTTTGCTAGACCAACTCACTAGGACTCTTTGGAAGGCAGGCCATGGTGATCCGATTCCAAGGGTTGGGAGAGGGAGTAGGGTTTTTTGCTATACTGCCCCAGCAGGATCCTTGTTAAAACCAAGGACAGAGCTCAAGGTTGGAGCCTGGTCAGAAAGAGGATTCAGAGGAGCCAATTCAAGTTTGGCCAGGGAGAGAGTTGTCCTGACGAGCACCTTTTCTTCTGAAAGAGCACCTCTTGCCACACTGTGTCCTTAGCCTCAGGCATGTCATTGTCTCAGCAGGAAGCTTCTTTTCATGCCCAAAGCTGGCAGGATCCTTTGTGTTTTGCCCTAACAAAGGAGCTAGGGCCAAAAATCTGGATGAATCCTAGTTCCTCTCTTTTGAAAAGTGGCTGTAGGACCCAGGTGGATGGAGACTTCTTCCAGTGTCTGCAGATACTGAGCATGAATGCAAAAGGATCCATTTCATGGTGGGAGGGGGGACACCTATCAGACAGGAAGGGCTCCCTGC